AAGAATGGCAGGGCCTCTGTAGTCCCCAGTTTGCCACAGGCCAACCTGCTTGGACCCACCTTTGGACTACCAAGTGCATTTAAAGACAAAATGCAAGTCTAGTAGTACAAGGTTCCCAGCATAGACCCTGGGGTCTGCAGTAGCCCCAGGTGTCTCCCTCAGGGTCCTGAGGCATGTGATGATAAGGGAATAAATCGAAGTTTGAAATGGAAATTATCTAAACTACTTTTCCCCTTTCAAATAAAATATGAATGACATTCAGTCTGTGTTGACTGTAAACAGAAAGTGAATACTACTTCTTCCCACTTCCAGCAGTCTTTGTCCTTGTTATCCTTGCTTACATGAGTTACCAGAGAAACTCCAGAGTTCAGGTCACCCCTAGTCTCCTGTGTGCTAACCCACCCAAAGCTCTTCACAGCACTTATTCTGAACTCTTTTTTCCTACTCCCCAATTTCCAAGGCTTTCCCACTGTGAAGAAAAACCTCAGGCCACCACCAGCAAAAACCCTCTATGCCCTTGTTAGGTAGGAAGTCAGATATGAGCTTATGTGTGTGTGACAGGCCTAAAGACAAGACATCTATGTCCAGCATCTGCATCTGCAGCCCAGTGTCCTTCCTCTAAATTTAGGATGGCGACAGCTAGGCTTCCTCCTGTCTGATACCTTCAGGGGAAAACTCAGATAGGAGCTTCTTAATATTTACATCCATAAAATCCTTTGTTTCAGGAGGAGATGTATGAAGACAAAGACCCATCTCCTTAACCCCCCAGCCTCAACAGGACTGCACGCTCAGCCCTCCTCCTCTCTGGTGAGCCGCTCACCTGGCCTTCCCAGGTGTAATCTCTCCACTCAACCATGTAACCTCGCTCCTCCCCCAAGTCCGAGCTACTGGGCACTCTTTCTCAGGTCCTGTCTGGAGAGGTGCCCATCCGTTCTTATGGATGTCCCTTCCCTAATAAACTTTGTTACTTTACTTTCCACTACTCTGTCTCACGCCTGAATTCTTTCTTGCCCAAAGACAAGAACCCTGCCATTCTCCAGTAACACCCTCAATATCTTTTTTTTTTTTTTTTTTTTTTGACAGGCAGAGTGGACAGTGAGAGAGAGAGACAGAGAGAAAGGTCTTCCTTTGCCGTTGGTTCACCCTCCAATGGCCGCCGCGGCCGGCGCGCTGCAGCTGGCGCACCGCGCTGATCCGATGGCAGGAGCCAGGAGCCAGGTGCTTTTCCTGGTCTCCCATGGGGTGCAGGGCCCAAGCTCTTGGGCCATCCTCCACTGCACTCCCAGGCCACAGCAGATAGCTGGCCTGGAAGAGGGGCAACCGGGACAGAATCCGGCGCCCCGACCAGGACTAGAACCCGGTGTGCCGGCACCGCAAGGCGGAGGATTAGCCTAGTGAGCCGCAGCGCCAGCTCCCTTTACTCTTACAATCCCTCAACCCCACAATTCACCAACACTACCATCTTTTTGTAACCATAACAGATACCATCTTCCTTTCTTTTCACATTCAAACAAAAATTGACTACTACACTTGTAACTTACCTGTGGTCAGTCTTGGGTCTCACGCTGATTGTCTAAAAATTTAAGGGCCTACTGTCTTCCCTGAGCCTCCACAGGTACCCTTTCTCCTTGAAAAGTCACCCTACTAGTTTCAAAGTGGGGAAGAGCACATTTGGGACCCCAGAGTCTGCCTTGCTCTGGTGGCCACTCTGATAACCTTACTGGCTCCCTGCATCAATTTCTCATCTCTTGTGTAGTCACTGCCGAGCATCCAGGAGACCAGGTCTAACTCTGAAACAGTCCTGTTTTCCCTGTTTTTAATGTCTCCATATCTACTCTTCCCTTTTCACTTATTTCCAATCCATGGTGAATCCTATCACTCCCTTGCTTGTATTCTCAACTTCCTCGCTTTCCTCTCCTTGCTTATTCCCTTGGTAAAATCTGACTAAATAGAATTCTCAGCCTACTCTCTGAGGCTGCATCCCAGCAGTTGATTATCGCTGAGAAAAAAAGCACAGTCACACTGACTTGTCCCACTTGAATTCATGACCGTGAACTCAAGTGGCCTCTTAATGATAGTCGGCAGTGCACAATTTTTTTCTAGCCTACTCATCTTCCCATTCTCCAAGATGACTATTTCACACTTTCTCGTTGCTCATTAAACCTCCATTAATCTTTCCCACCTCCTCTCAGCTGGTAAGTACTTCCTACATTTCTAACAAAAGGAAAACAACCAGAAAAGAACTTCTGATCCCTGCCCACCTGCCTGCCTGTTGCATGGATGGACAGTCTGTGCTCTGGTCTACATAATGATTCTTCCTCTTCTCTGCTAGATTCCAAACATTTTCCCCTCGGAAGAACACCACTCCTGCAATTCAGCCTTCTTGCTCCTACATTAATTTCATTGATTTTTCCTTCCTTTCTGGATCATTCCCATCAGAAATGAACATTACTTCCTCATTTAAAAAAAAATTTACTTTTGACTCCACTTTCCCACCAGCTACTGTCCCATTGAGGACTGCTCACTGCAGGAGAGCATTAGCCATTTCTTAAACCCACTGCAGTTCCTCCACTGAAGTGTTAAGAATGGCCATGTCAAAAAAATGACCTAAATGAAAGATCTCTGTGAGTGAGACCCCAGCAGAAAGAACGGGCCATCAAAGAAGGAGGTCCCTTTCTCTGAAGGGAGGAGAGAACTTCCACTCTGACTATGGCCTTGTCTAAATAAGGTCAGTTTGTGAACTCAAGAGGCTTCCATAGCCTTGGCAGCTCATGACAAGAGCCTCGGGTGATTACTAACATCATAAATAAGCGTGTCAATTGTTAAATCAACAACGGGAGTCACTGTGCACCTACTCCCCCATAGGAGCTGTCCTTAATGTGTTGTACTATGCGAATTAATGGTAAAACTAGTATTCAAACAGTACGTTATACTTTGTATGTCTTTGTGGGTACAGTCTGTTGAAATCTTTACCTAGAATATGCTACATTGATCTTCTGTATATACAGATAATTGAAAATGAATCTTAATGAAGAATGGGATGGGAGAGGGAGGAGATGGGATGGTTTGCGGGTGGGAGGGTAGGTATTGGTGGGGGGGAACCGCTATAATCCAAAAGTTGTACTTTCGAAATTTATATTTATTAAATAAAAAACTGGCCACGTGTCACTAAATCCAGTGGTGAATTCTCAAGCCTCACTCACGCACAAGTACTTCACCTGCCTGTCAGGGCAGACTCACTGCTGCCGTTCAGACTCATTTGCTGACTCACTCACTTCACTCCCCTTACAGTCACATTTTAGGGCTTCATCCTAGGTTTTCTTCTACTTACATTCACTCACTTGGTGATCTTCTCCAGTCTCATGGCTTTAAATCCTATCTAAATGCTGACATCTTTCCTGTATCCCCCAACTTGGCCCACTCTGCTTAATCCCAGACTCTAGTACACAACCGCCTGCTCAAGCTCTGCACTTGGATTTTTAACGGATAATTCAAATGCAACACGTCCTGACCTTTCCCCTCAAACCTCCTCTACCTGTAGCCTTCTTGCCATTGCCATAACCCTTAGCAGCTCTCTTACTCTATTCGATTTCCTTATTGATTGCATTTATTATTTATTGCCTCCCTCTCTCCCACCCGAAAAACGTAATGTCACCAGGGCAGGGATTTTTGTTTTGTTCACAGATATAACTCAACTTGAAATGTGGGTACTCCACACATGCAAAGTCAATGACTGAATGAATGAACACAGTAGGATCCATCCTTAGCTTACCCAGAAATTACTGAAGTCTCTTAACCCAAACAAAAAATCAATGAAAACTGTTTATCTGCAAGCAATAAAACACCCTCAAAGTTAAAAACCTGTGCGTGTGCGTGGGTGGGAGGAAGGTAGCCCTTCAGAGAGGAACAGCACCAGCAGGCTTCTGTAAAACCCATGGTGTGAGTGGGTCAAGCTTTGCTTCTGGGGAACCCACTCCTCACAGCAGGCCTTCTAAACGGCCACCTCAGCTATGCAGAGGTGCCTCCGGCAGAGTGGGCACGCGGGGTGCGACGCAGCGACACCCGCACTGAAGCCGCCCGGATCAACAGCTGCTCTCCACTACGATGACTTTTTCTTTCCCTTATTTGGACCTCACAGTCAAGAGAGCCACCACACCCTGCCGCCTTCAGTGGCCCTGGTGCCACGTCCGAGGTCTCTCGCCTTCAGGACTGACTGAATTCAATCATTTTCTTCCCCTTTGAATCAAGGTTCCTGGGTGGGGCCAGGAAAACCCCGAAGCTCTCTTGAAACAACATAAACCCAAAAAAGCCGGAATTTTTTTTTTTTACGAAAGTACACACACACACACACACACACACACACACAGAAGTTAAAGGTCATTTAGAGGCGAACAGGACGGGGTGCGGGGCAAGGCGAGGTCAGCAAGAGCGGACGCCCTGGCCGCAGTGCCTGTCGCCAGCCGCTGCGCGCCGGGTAAGTCCCCGGTCTCCGGGGAAGCAGCCGGCGCTTCCCTTGAATTTCGACGCTGCCCGCCCAGACAGGTCCGGACCCAGGAGCGAGAGTCCGGCGGCGGGGCGGGGGCGGGGACGGGACGCGCGGCCGGGCGCGACGCGGGCAGCTCGAGCAGGCAGCTCGAGCAGGGGGCGAAGCCGGGACGCTCCGAGGGTGGGCGCCCCGGGCCGCCGCCGCCGCCCGCCCCTCAGCCTGCCCCTCGCGCGACACCGCTGCTTCCGCGGCGCCCCCTCCCTCCTCCGCGCTCCTCCCCTTTAAGCGCGAGGCGCCGCTGGATTTGTGTCGGCGGAAGCGAGGTGCGACTCCCCTTTATGGCGGAGTCGGCTGCGGCAGCTCTCTCAGCGGCGGCGGCCCGGCAGGCAAAGCCGGAGACCGCGCCTCGGGCCCCCAGCCGCCGCCGCCGCCGTCCCCGCAGCGAGGCCGGGCGGGAGCGCGCAGCTCGGCGCGGCGGGGGCGGGGGCGGAGGAGTGGGCGGGCCCGGCCGGGCAGGGGGCGGAGAGGCGGGAGGGGGCGGGGAGCGCGGCCGGCGGCGCTCGGGTCCGCCTCTGACTGCGGCGCGGCGGGGCGATGTGTGATTACCATGGCGAGGAGTCTCTGTCCGGGGGCCTGGCTAAGGAAACCCTATTACCTCCAGGTAGGCCGGCGGCGGCCCCGCCACCCGCCGCGCGCCCTCCCGCGCCGCGCCGGACTCTCCGCCCTGTCCTCTCCGCGGGCCGGCGCCCGCCCCGAAGCCCGCTGCCCCCTGCCGTCCGGCACCTGGCGGCGCCCTCTCCGCGCCCGCCCCGGCGCCGCAGCCCCCGGGCGGAGCTGCCCGCGCTCCCACCGCGGCCCCGGCCTCCCGCGCCTCGGCCGGCGGGGCCGGGCGCCCAGGTGGGTCCGCCCGGGCTCGCCCTCGCAGCCCGGGAGCCCGAGACGTGACCCGGGTGCGATCCCGCGCCCCGGCGCTGCCCCCGCCCGTGCCCCTGTCCGGTCGCAGCCTGGGACGTGCGGCCGTCGTCCTCGCCCGGCTCCCGCGGTGCTCCCCTCCCCCGAGGGCCCCGCAGCGCGGCTGTTCCGGACTCAGCGTCTCGGGTCTCCGGTCCCGGGGTGGGGAGGGTGGTGGGTCATCCATCCATGTTTTAGGAAACGTGACAGTTTGTCACATCGGCCGCCGCACGCCCCCGGGAAGCGGAGTGAGCGGAGCCCCTCGGTTTGGTCTTCCCATCGCATCGGTGATTTAAATGGGAGGTGGGGATGGGAAACCCGAGCCCGGAGGATGGGTGTTTGCTTTTGAGGAGGAGAGGGGGCAGTGGCTGGTGTTGAGGGTTGCACGTACCCCAGCCACACGAATGCAGGTCTCGGTCGTGTCGTGTGAACCGATCGCGTGTTGATGTTTCCCGAATCCCGTTCCATCTTCTGTTCCGCCGCCAGCCTGCGCCCTCGAACCCTGCTGCTGGCTTCAGGTACTGTTTGGTCACCAGGGGGACCTCGCAGACGGCGTGAGCAGCCGAGCGCCGCTCCCTCGCCGCGCTGCGAAAACAACTACAAATCCATGCGGGGTGTCTGCCTTGAGGGGCCCGGGGATCCTGCACCGCCTACACGGAGAGACTGCGTTAGTTTATTTGTGGGTCGCCTGGTGCTCTTATAAATGCTGAAAAAAGTGGTGAGGGGGCCTCCTGGGGCAGTGAATCTTGATGTCCTTTTGAAAAGCGCGTGTGTGATTCATTACCCTGCGGTGAGTGATGTGCTGCGAATTGGAAACACGGTTTGACAGCCCGTGGTCATCAGGGTGCGGAAAGGAAACTTCCCATCCACAGTCTTTGCAAGCAGCGCCACCACTAGTAATTGAGCCTGGAGTAACAGTATCATCGAGCTAGAATTCCTCTCAGGCCAGGGACCTCTTTCCTGACCCCCCCCCCCCAAATTAATTTCGTGGAATATATAATTTTTCCTAAAATTACCTGACTATGCTTGGTTTTGGAAAATTTGGTCATAGACCTTATTTTAGACTTTGATTTTTTGGGGGGCTATAAATAGTCTCCAGAAATGAGGCTGGAACTTTTTTTTTTTTTTTTTTTTGGATACTGTAGCACCAGAGCTTTCAGGTCGGATGAGTTAAGATTAATTTTACAAATAGTTGTACTTCCACCAACGGCAAACATTCGGCAGTTCTTTGTGATTTTGCACATTACTATTACCCAGTGAAGGTAAACTCGGATTTTTCAGCATTTCAAAAGCATTTGGGGCATAGTGATATTTTACTGGGTCATTTCTGTATAAAATAATTATCAAATAGAAACGCCATAGGTTATAGTGTATTTGAGAGGAAAAAAAAAAAGATCCCAAACCTGGGAACTAGAATCCTAGGGGACTGGTATTTTAAACATCATCTTGATATCAAGGTGAATTCTCTTTGTGAATTTTCTTTCTAGCTGTCCCTCACCATGCTGTTTCAAGTTAACCAATTTTTTTTTAAAGTGGCTTCAAGTTACTGTTGTCACACCTTCCATTCCCTATTGCCTAAATATCTCACCTGCTTTTTACATTTCCTCTACCACTAGAGGAACTTCAGACTTCAACTTCAAAAACAAAAATATTTCAACTGAGACTACTATTCAGCTAGTTTCTCAGCCACAGAGGTTTGAATTAATAAAGCACTCCTTTTCTTTTCTGATTTTTCTTGAGATAAAATCATGTTTCTTTGGAAATAGCATGAGGAGTGAGAGTAGTTCTGAATTCTGCTCACATTTGGGCATCTGATTCATTATGACCTTAAACAATTAATTACTTTTTGGTTTTAGATTTTCCATATCATTAAATGGTGATTTTAATTCTTAGCTAAGTGCACAGCATGAATGTACTCCTGGATAAGCTAGATGGAGTTAAATAAATCTATTTTGTGACAATTTTGGTACCTTTTATTTTTATTTTTTGCTATTTTATTCATTAATGTATTTTCATTTTACTTGAGAGAGAGAAAATCTTCTATCTGGTGTTTATTCCCCAAATGCCTGCAACAGCCAGGGCAGGACCAAGCTGAAGCCAGGTGCTTAGAACTCCTTTGAGTCTCCCATATGAGCTGCAGGGACCCAGATACTTGAGCCATCGTCTGCTGCCTCCCAGGATGTGTGTTAGCTGGAAGCTGGATCAGAAGGGGTGGAGTGGGACCTGGAACCAGGCACTCTGATATGGGATGTAGGTCTCTGACACAGAGATGGAAGCGTAGCACCAAGTAGCTGCCCCTTTCAGTGCATTTTTTTTTAATTTTTAAAATTTTTTTATTTTTTTGACAGGCAGAGTGGACAGTGAGAGAGAGAGAGAGAGAGAGAAAGGTCTTCCTTTGCCGTTGGTTCACCCTCCAATGGCCGCCACAGCCGGCGCGCTGCGGCCGGTGCACCGCGCTGATCCGATGGCAGGAGCCAGGAGCCAGGTGCTTTTCCTGGTCTCCCATGGGGTGCAGGGCCCAAGCACCTGGGCCATCCTCCACTGCACTCCCTGGCCACAGCAGAGAGCTGGCCTGGAAGAGGGGCAACCGGGACAGAATCCGGCGCCCCAACCGGGACTAGAACCCGGTGTGCCGGCGCCGCTAGGCAGAGGATTAGCCTAGTGAGCCGTGGCGCCGGCCTTTCAGTGCATTTTTAATAGAAAAGCATGTGATGTCAATGGTAAGTCAATGCAGGCAAATACATTGAATCCTTTCCATCCCACCTCTATTATTTCTTGAGCATTTATTGATTAGGTGCTTGTGATTACTTATTTTGTTGACTCATCCATTTACTTAGTATATATTTGTCAGATGGCTGTCACATGCTCTAGACTGTGTGAGGTGGGGATGGGGATTCTCTTCAAGTTAAGCAGACACCTTAGTGATCCTTAAGGAACTTAAGGGTCTAGTTGGAGAAAGAGACAGTAATCGGATAATCTCAGGAATGTGTAGTAACAACAGTAAGTGCTGTGAAGTAAAGAGAATGAGCAAAAGACTGCCTGAGAAGAGAGAAGAGTTGCTCTCTTTTAAAAATATTTTACTATGGAAATGTTTACACATGCATAAAATGAAGGAATAAAGAGCTCTCATGTACCCATCACATGTCCTTGGTAATTATCAGGGGTGGGTGTTTGGTATAGTGGCTAAGTTGCTACTCTGGATGCCTGTCTCATATGGAATGCCTGGGTTTGAGTCCCAGCTCTGCTGTCTGTTCCAGCTTCCTGCTAATGTGCACCCTGGGGGCAGCAGGTGATGACTCAGGCACTTGGATCCTTGCCACCCACATGGAGATCTGGATTGAGTTCCTGGCTCCTGGCTTCAGCCTGGCAGTCCTGGCTATTGTAGGCATTTGAAGAGGTCTCTGTCTTTCTTTCAAATAAAATAAATATTTTAAAACCTGTTAAAAGTATTTTGTTTGATTTCCCTTCTCTAACACCCACTTCCAACCAGAGTATTTTAAAGCAAACCTCAGACATTGTTTCATCCAAGGACCTCAGTGTGTGTTTCTAAAAGATGAGTACATTTTTAGATATGATCACAAGACCATATCACACCTAGCAAAATCAATAACAATTTCTTATGTTGTCCCCACTCTCCTGGACATGCATCACCCTGAAAGTGGTGGCTAAATCAGTTCGCCATGGAAAGGTTTTACTGTGATACAAAAAGTTCTCCTGGCAAAACAAAAAAACCTCCCCCTTCCCAGCTTGCTCAGTGCCCAGAAATTCTTCACAGGAGGTACACTTATTTTCTGTTTCAGGTTCATATCTTAGAACACACATGGCTGATTTAAGTAACATTTTCAAACAAGTGTGTTCTTTTAATTTAGGGGGAGGCTGTAATGATTCAACAGGTGTGAGAGAGATTGTTTTAGCGTAGATGAAGGAAGAGTTCAGGAAGCATTTGGCTTTGTTTCAAAGATCAGGGAAGAGATGAAGGGCCTTGCAGGAGGGGAGGGGGTTGCAGAGGCAGGTTTGTTGCTTGCAGTTTTTCTGTTTGTCCCCAGAGCGCAGTGAGTTTGTCCGCAGTCCTGAGGTGATCAGTCCCGAGGGTTTGCAAGTTCCTTTTTTCTTGCAACTTACAGGAAAAATTTTAAGCAGTTGACTTAACTATAAAAGAGGCATCTATCAGTAGCCATCCCTGTAATAGTTGATGATCCTTCTGCAACACTGTAGCATTGTGCAATTAATGATCTATTTTCAGCTGTAATAGGCATGTATGAGCACCTAATCACTGTGTTCAGCTTTGTTCATGTAGCAACTGAGATTCTCTTGCTTGTAAAGAAAAGAACTCATAAGATTTGCCAGTACAGTAGGATGTTATTCAGCAATAAAGCAAAATGGAGAACTGATCCATACCACTGTGTGGATGAACCGTGAAGGCATGAAACAAATGAAAGAAGCCGATCACAGAACATTACACACCATATGATTCCATTTACATGAAGGGTCCAGCATGGGCAAATCTGTAAATATAGAAAATAGACTGGTGCTTGCCATGGGCTGGGGAGATGGGGAGTGATGTTCACCAGTAGGAGGTTTTTGGGGGAGGAAGGGGATGGAGATGTTCTAAAATGGATAGTGGTTATGGTCGCACAGCTCAGAGGATTCTGAAAGCCACTGGATGGGCCACTTTGAGTGAGCAGATTGCATGGTAGGTGAATTTCATTCTAGCTGTGGAAGAGTTCTTTCCATGGCCGTGTCATCCTCCTGTCTGCCCTTTGCAGCAGTCCGCCCCGATGCCAGCTTTTTGGTACAGGGGAGTGGTGCATGGGCCTTGTCTGTGCAGCCTCTGTGTGGGCCAGGAGGGCTCAGGGCCTGTCTGAAACACAGAGCCAGCGTTTACCTGGCCAGCCAGCTTTTCAGAACAGGCCAATTTCCAATTGTTGTTTTGTTTTTTGAAAACTTAGCTGGCAAATAGCACTTCTGAGATGAGCCAACTATTGCAGTGCGTTGAACACAGTAGAATCCTGCCTCTGATCTCATTGGATATATATATATCCTGTGGATATATTAGCCTGATTCAATCATAATTAGTTATGATTTATTTATTTATTTGAAATGTGGAGTTACAGAGATGGAGAGGCAGAGGAAGACAGATGGAAGACTTCCATCTCTGGGTTCACTTCCCAAATGGCCGCATGGCCAGGGCTGGGCCAGACCAAAGCAAGGAGTGAGGAGCTTCTTCTAGGTCTCCCTCCGCTGCTTTCCTAGGCACATTAGCAGGGAACTGGATGGGAGGTGAAGCCCATGTGGGATGAGAGCGTCGCAGGCAGTGGCTTTCCCCAGTGTACCACTGTGCTGGCCCCTGAGGTGGTATTTTTATTCCATGCCCCTTATGATGTGTACTACTTATGACCTGGATATGGTCAAAATAACACCTGCATTTGTCTGTTTTTAGCAGTTTGTTTTCTACAAATTAAGATCTACTTTGTTTAGGATTTACTCGCGGTTTTGAATGAGGCTGATAACACAGCAGCCCTGTAATTTGTTGGTTTTAGTTTTGAATACCTTATTCTGTCTCACTATCATTAAGTCCTGGAAGAATGAAAGTTTAAGACAATTTAGGGTAATTCTCTAAACTTGGATTATACACATTTTCCATTCTAGTCATCCCGCCTACGTGCCCTGTTGCCTACGAGAAGTTGGTGCAGTTCTTACGGGTTTTGAAGTCTGAGATACTTAGAGCTTTTGAAGATTTTCAGGCCCTTTAGACTGCAAAAGTTTTAAATTTCTTGAGGTGTTCTCTAAAAAAATATTCAGTTATCTTTAATGAGTGATAGATGGTGTGTTCTAATTGGGGTGTTGGTGTTTGTTCAACTTTTTTTTAAGATTTAATTTTATTTATTGAAAGGCAAAGTGACAAAATCTCCCATCTACTGGTTTACTCCGTAAATGCTCCCAACAGCCAGGGCTGGGCAAGACTGCAATGTACAGCTAGGAACTCCATTTGGGTCTCCCATGTGAGTGACAAGAACCCAAGTACTTGGACCATCATCTGTTGCCTCCTGGATGTGTTAACAGTTAACTGGATCAGAAGTGTGGAGCAGCAGGGACTTGAACCAGGAACTTCAGTAGGGGATGCAGGCATCTCTAGCAAGAGTTTAACCTACTGTACCACAGTGCCTGCCTCTTGTTTAACATTTCTGATACCTTATTCTTTACATTCATGGGTTTCAAAATTTTTCTTACACCACAGTGCCCTTACTGGGGTGGATAATTTGGCCATGCAGTTAAGACACCAGTTAAGATGCCTGTGTTCCATATCATAGTACTCGGGGTCAACACTTAGCTCTGGCTGCTAACTCCAGTTTCCTGCTAATGCAGACCCCGGGAGGCAGTGGCGATGGCTCAAGAGTCTGAGTCCCTGCTACCCAAGTGGGAGACTTGGATTGTGTTCCCAGCTTCCAACTGCAGCCCAGTCCTGGCCGTTTCAAGTATTTGGGGAGTGAACCAGCCAATAGGAGCTGTCTGTCTCTCTAGAAAACAATGAAGCAAAAAAAACCCCACAAAGTTATGGGTTTAGAAAATCAGGATATTCTAACATGAATATATTTAAATAACTTAAAGTATTAGTAGATGAATTTTCTTTTGAAATAAATAGTTCCTTTTTTTTTTTTTTTGTCAACTGGGTATTTATTTAGATGTGATCATGGTATTATGTCTTTTTTTTCTGTGTATGTGTGGCCTAAAACACATAAAATCACCATCTTAACCATTTTTAAGTGTGCTGTACAGGAGCTTTTGCTATGAGCACCTTGTTGTGCAGCCAATCTCTGGAACTCTTTCCTATTGCAAAGTTGAAACCCTACCCATTGAATAACGGCTCCCCATTTCCTCTTCCGCCAGCCCTTGAGAACCACATTCTGCTTTCTGTTAGTTTTAGATCCGTCATAAAAGTGAAGTCATGCTGTGTTTGTCTTTTTTGTGACTGCCTTATTTCACTTAGCATGGTGTCTCAGTGTTCATTCATGATGTAGAGTATGACAGGATTGCCTTCTTTTTTTAAGGTTGAATAATATCCCATCGTATGCATATAGCACATTTTCTGAATCTGTTCATCAGTCAGTGGACTGATCCCATCTTTTGGCTATTGGGAATAATGCTGTAATGAACATGGGAGTGCAAATATTTCTTTGTAATCTTGCTTCGAATTCTTTTGTATACCCAGAATGGGATTCCTGGATCAACTGGTAATTCTATTTTTAAGTTTTTGATGAACCTTCATTCTATTTTCCATAGTGGTTGTATTTTTTTATTTTTATTTTTTATTTTTTTTACATTCCCAACAATGTTACAGGAGTTCCAGCGTTCCAGTTTTTTCACATCCTTGCCAGCGCGTGTTATCTTTCTGATTTGTTGAGAGTGGCCATTTTAACAGATGTGAGGTGATATTGTAGTTTTGATTTCATTTCCCTGATGATTAGTGATGTTGTACATATTTTCATGTACTCTTGGCTATTTGTATATCTTCTTTGGAGAAAGCTCCTTCTTATTGTTTCAGATTGTTATTTATTGAATAGGATTATGGGCTGTTGTAAGTGGAGTTCCCCTTTCTTTCCCAAGAACAGAGTAATCATATTTTAGGACTTTTTTTTAAAGATTTTAATTTTTTAAAAAATTTATTTGAGAGGTAGAGTTACAGACAATGAGAGGGAGAGACAGAAAGGTCTTCCTTCTGTTGGTTCACTTCCAAAATGGCTGCCATGGCCAGAGCTGCACTGATCCAAAGCCAGGAACCAGGTGCTTCTTCCTGGTCTCCCATGGGGTGCAGGGCCCAAGCACTTGGACCATCCTCCACTGCACTCCCTGGCCACAGCAGAGAGCTGGCCTGGAAGAGGGGCAACCGGGACAGAATCCGGCACCCAGACCAGCACTAGAACCTGGTGTGCCGGCGCTGCAAGGCAGAGGATTAGCCTAGTGAGCCACGGCGCCGGCCAGGACTTTTTTTAAAACAAGATTTATTTACTTATTTGAAAGGCAGAGCAACAGAGAGAATGGGAGAGACAGAGAAAGAGAGACTTTCCAAATGGCTGCAACAGTCAGGTCAGGGTTGGGCTGAAGCCAGGAGCCAGAACTCCATTGTCGTCTCCCACATGGGTGGCTGAACCTGAACTTCCAGTATGGGATGCCCATGTCACAAGTGGTGGCCTAACCTGCTGTGCCCACAACACTGGCCTCCAGACTTCTTGCAAGAGATTTTTTAGTGTACTAATAACCTTCTGAACTAATAATTAGTACATCTATTTTAGATATAAGTAGTATCAGAATCTTGGACTGTTAGATTTTTAGAGCTGGCACCACAAGCTTTACTCCCTGTCCTCCATTGCTTGAATATTAGTACTTCATATCTACTTTAAATTTTTTAAAGATTTATTTATTTATTTGAGAGTCAGAGTTGCACAGAGAGAGGAGAGGCGGAGAAAGAGAGAGAGAGAGGTCTTCCACCCGCTGGTTCACTCCCCAATCGGCTGGAGCTGAGCTGATCCGAAGCCAGGAGCCAGGAGCTTCTTCTGGGTCTCCCACGTGGGTGCAGGGGCCCAAGGACTTGGGCTTTCTTCTACTGCTTTCCCAGGCCATAGCAGAGAGCTGGATTGGAAGTGGAGCAGCTAGGTCTCGAACCGGCGCCCATATGGGATACCGGCGCTTCAGGCCAGGGTGTTAACCCACTGCGCCACAGCGCTGGTCCCTATTTACTTTAATTTTAAAAGATTGATCAATATGCCAAGTTACATATCCTATATATGTATGTGTATATATTATTGGATCCTATATATTTGTATATATATATATTTATAATTTACTTGAGAGGTAGAGTTACAGAGAGAGGGAAAAACAGAAAGAAAGGTCTTCCATCTGCTGATTCACTTCCCAATTGGCCGCAATGGCTGGAGCTGAGCCCATCCGAAGCCAGGAGCCAGGAGCTTCTTCCGGGTCTCCCACATGGGTGCAGGGGCCCGAGCACTTGGACCATCTTTTACTGCTTTTCCAGACCATTAACGGAGAGCTGGATTGGAAGAGGAGCAGATGGGACAAGAGCCAGTGCTCAAATTGGGTACTGGCACCACAGGTGGAGACTCAGTGTACTTCACCACAGCGCCAGCCCTGGATCCTTTGTATTTTTAAACAGGCATAAATGATTTTTTTAAGATAATGGGGAAATTTGAAAATGAACTGTGTGTCATATAGTACTATTATATCATTGTAAAATTGTGCTATTTGATATAAAGTGCTTGTTTTTAGGAGATATAAACTGAACTTGAACTCTGTAGGAAGAGGCTTAGTCTACTATGCCACAGCACCAACCTCGCATTCTCCCTCTACTGCTACCTGCACCACCATCGTATTGTCTTAGTCACCATCACCTTGATTGAGGCCCTTGCCACCCTTATTTTTTCCTCTGTCAGCCCCTCCTGGCTTCCTTGCTTTCCCCATTCACATGGCTCCCAGGATACCTCATTTCAGCTCCTCCCTGTTGCTCACCTGCCACCTCCTTGCATTTCTCTCCTTCCTTCGTTGCTACTCAGATACCCCCCCCCCCCACACACACACTTTCTTCCACCTGTCCCTCCTCCTCTATTCCTGCTTTTCCCAGGGCTCCAACCTTCTCCTACTTCTCGTCTTGTATAGTCTCGGGGTCGTTCTATCTCTTCGCTTGTCTTCTATTCCAATCCAAATAGAAGTGAGCTTCAACCCTGTGTTACCAGCCCGTGCCTCTCCATCTGCTCATTCACTCCCCAAATGGCTGCAGCAGTCAGGGCTGGGCCAGGCTAAAGCCAAGAGCCAGGAGATTCATCCTGGTCTCCAGGATGAACTTGGGCCATCTTCTGCTGCGTTCACAGGCGCATTAGCAGGGTGCTGGATTGGAAGTGGAGCAGCTAGGACTTGAACCAGCATCCATATTGAATGCTCGTGTCACTACCGCCAATGCTGGCCCCTCAAAATTATCAACATATTTTCATTTAGGTTCAAGTTTTGTGTAAATTACCTTGTATATACAACAGATTAGTATAGTCATACATTTTTTTTAAATTATTTTTTATTTTTTGACAGGCAGAGTGGACAGTGAGAGAGAGAGACAGAGAGAAAGGTCTTCCTTTGCCATTGGTTCACCCTCCAATGGCCGCCACGGCTGGCGCGCTGCGGCCGGCACACCGCGCTGATCCGATGGCAGGAGCCAGGAGCCAGGTGCTTTTCCTGGTCTCCCATGGGGTGCAGGGCCCAAGCACCTGGGCCATCCTCCACTGCACTCCCTGGCCACAGCAGAGAGCTGGCCTGGAAGAGGGGCAACCGGGACAGAATCCGGCGCCCCGACCGGGACTAGAACCCGGTGTGCCGGCACCGCAAGGCGGAGGATTAGCCTAGTGAGCCGCGGCGCCGGCCTTATAGTCATACATTTTTTAAAAATTTCATAGTGTATTTCTTTTTTTTTTTTTTTTTAAGATTTATTTATTTATTTGAAAGGCAGAGTTACACAGAGTGAGAAGGAGAGAGAGAGAGAGAGAGAGGTCTTCCATCTGCTGGTTCACTCCCCAATTGGCCGCAACAGCCAGAGCTGCGCCGATCTGAAGCCAGGAGCCAGGAGCTTCTTCTAGGTCTGCCATGTGGGTGCAGGGCCCCAAGGACTTGGGCCATCTTCTACTGCTTTCCCAGGCCATAGTAGAGAGCTGGATTGGAAGTGGAGCAGCTGGGTCTCGAACTGGCGCCCATATGGGATGCCGGTGCTTTAGGCCAGGGTGTTAACCCACTGCACCACAGCGCCAGCCCCTAGTCATACATTTATTTAGGATATAAATAAGCAAAATGCTTAAGTTAGGAATTTATGCTTGGAAATATTTTCCTGATAGAGTTGTGCCATCAAAACATTTGGGGAGTGAGCCTGTGGTACAGATGGTTGAGCTGCCTTTTGGGATGCCCACATCCCATATCAGAGTTGGCTGCTTCAGTCGCAATCCAGCTCCCTGCAAAGACACCTTTAAGGCAGCAATTGATGGTCCAGGTACTTGGACCCCTGCCCCTCCCCTCAGAGACCCAGCTGCAGTTCCTGGTTCCTGGCTTTGTCCTGGCGCAGCCCTGGCTATTGGGGTCATCTGGGGAATGAACCAATGGATGTTCTTGTCTCTCCCCCTCTCTCTGTTATTCTGCCTTTCAAATAAATATTTTTAAATGTTTAGAGACCATGCTCTAATGCTTTCCCAGTATTTCTCATTAAAAATGAGTATTTTCTCTCACTACAGTCATCTCATCTCTCTTCCAGAGTTTGATAGCTGTATTTTTGATTTTGCTTCCTCTGTTGCTGACCTTGGTAGCTTCAGAAAATAATGATTCTCTGTTACTTCACCAGCTTTGGTGGGTCTGTCTTGGCTCCCCCTGTGTAAGGAGGCACGTTGGAACACGTGCTCCTTTTCCACCTGCTTGTCGGGCTCTCTTACTTCCCACTTCCGTCAGCTATGCTTTTACATTGTCAAAGTTGATAACATCCACACTTTGTCCTGTTACCACATCCAAGTCTCCAAATAAGTTGAATCTAAAGGATGAAAACTATAAATAGGATCCTGTCATTACTGCTTGTTAGCTCTGCCGTAAAGAAAAATCTCCCTTATGAACCTGAGACCCCTGATGGCAGCTTGTAGCTTTTCCCCTCTGTCATAGGAAGCAAGTAGAATTAAGAGAGCTCAACAATTGCCTCTTGTTATTAAGCACATTACTGCAAGGATTTGTCCTTCCCAGAAGCTAAACTGTGTTTCTGCCAGTAGGGAAAAAAACACGTGATGTTTGCAAATTCCCTATAAAAAGTCCCTTTCTATTAAGAAATCATGCTGCTTTGCTTTCTGGTACTTCTGATAAAGTATAGTAATATCAAACCTAGCATTTGGGATCCTCATTGAAATATCTAACTTATGTTTTAAGGTCATGCTGGGCCACAACTTCTCCCTTGAGCTGTCATTACAGTTGGCCCTCCTTCCTATGGGTTCCACATTCACACATTCAACCAACCACAGACTGAAAATACTCAGAAAAAATATTTCACGTGTGCTGAACATGTACAGACTTTTTTCTTGTCATTATTTCCTAAACAAATAGTATAACAACCATTTACATAGCTTTTGCATTGTGTTGTGTATTTATTTATTTATTTATTTATTTGACAGGCAGAGTAGACAGTGAGAGAGAGACAGAGAGAAAAGTCTTCCTTTTCCATTGGTTCACCCCACAATGGCTGCTGCGACTGGCTCACGGCGCTGATCCGAAGCCAGGAGCCAGGTGCTTCTCCTGGTCTCCCATGCGGGTGCAGGGCTCAAAGACTTGGGCCATCCTCCACTGCACTCCCGGGCCACAGCAGAGAGCTGGCCTGGAAGAGGGGCAACTGGGACAGAATCCGTTGCCCCGACCGGGACTAGAACCCGGTGTGCCAGTGCCGCAGGCAGAGGATTAGCCTATTGAGCCACAGCGCCAGCTGTGTTGGGTATTATAAGTAATCTAGAGATGATTTGAAGTATATGGAAGGATGTGTGTAGCTTATGTGCAAATACTATGTTACTGTATGCTTGAATAAGGGACTTGAGTATTTGCAGATTACAGTGTCATTGGATCTGGAAACAAATCCCCTGTGTGTGCCAAGGGATGGCATACTTGGTATGGTTAAGCAGTTATACTCAACTGCAGGAAGCATCCATTCCTCTGTTATCCACCCCTAAATGCGAGTGAGCCTAGCTAGTTCTTGTGCCTGGGTCCGTTTGAATAATGAAAGGGACTCAAACGTTCAGAGAGAGCATTGCAGATAGGAACTAGGACTCATTGGTGCCATGTGTACAGAAAATGAAGAAAAAACACTTTGAGCCAATCTTTCTCTTAAGACTCTGAAATTTATGTCTTGAGACCAAACATATCAAAGTTGACTCTGGCCTAAGATGAAGGACATCTCTAATTTTAGTACCCTGTAAAATCTGATTCTATAAATATTATTTAGTTCAGAGCCAGTTTGTATGCTAGGATTACATTTTCTTCTCTCTAGGGCCAGGGTAATAACCCCTGGGCTCTCAGGATTCCGGCATTAATAGCAACTGGATCCTCTTTTCTCACACTCCATCAGTTCCTTATAATCGGGTACTTACAAGCTTGCTTCGTGTTTGGGATGTAGCTTTTTTGCTGCCTTCCTTCCTTCACTCCTTCTTTCCCTCTGTCTCTTTCCCTCTGTCTCTCTCTCTCATTTTCTCTTGAAAATATTTTCAGGGTTTCTAATTGCTTTTCATCTTTGTCTTGCATAATACGCCTTTATATAGTCTCATTTTTCTGTACTCTCAGTTATATTTTATATTCTTTGGAAACCCCCTCTGTCCTTTTTTTTCCCCCTTCCCTTTTTTTTTTTCCCCTAAACCTTGCTTTTCCATTCTGTAGTTTTCATATGACCAGATGCTTTTTCTAGGCCTACTACACATCTGCCTTCCTAAGCTTTCCCCCTTCTCTTCTCTCGGACTGGAGTCACTGTTCTTAGAATACTGTCTTTATCCTGCTGTATTTTCTCATTTTACTAGAGTATACCCTGAAATAGTTTCATTAGAAAGGATGCGTGGGTAGTAGATCTTGGGATTTCTTTGGTGTCTAAAAACATCTTAATTATACTCTAGTACTTATTTTTTTTTTTCTTTAAAGATTATTTATTTTAGATGCAGAGTGATGAAGAGGGGGAGATAGAAAAAAATCTTCCATCTGTTGGTTCACTCTACAGATGGCTACAACAGCCAGGTCTGGGCCAGGCTGAATCTAGGAGCCAGGAATTCTGTCCTGGTCTCCCACATGGGTAGCAGGGGCCCACGTACTTGTGCCATCGTCTGCTCCCTTCCTAGGTACATAGCAAGGAGTTGAATTCAAAGCAGAGCAGCTGGGACTCAGACTGGCACTCCCATAATAAGCTGTGGCTGAACTTGCTGTGCCACAATGCTGCCCCCCCCCCCCCACTTTTGTTTGTTTTTGAAAGGCAAAGAAGTAGAGATAGACAGACGGAGGTCTCCCTTCCACTGGTTTACTCCTCAGATACCCCACTATAACCAGAGCTGGCCAGGCTAAAGGCAGAAGCCAGGAATTTAGTCTAGGTCTCCCACATGGATGGCAAGGGCTTTAGACTTGAGCCATCGCCTGCTGCTTCCCAGGGTGTTCATTGGCAGGGAGCTGGAATCAGAAGTGAAGCCAGGATCCAAACCTAGGCACTTCTATATGAGATGTGGACATCTCAAGCTACATCTTAAAAATAAATTTTTTAAATTTATTTGAAAGAGTTAGAGAGAAACAGAGAAAGAGAGAGAGAGAGAGACAGAGAGAGAGAGGCCTTCCATCTTCTGGTTCACTTCCCAAATGGCCACAATAGCTGGGGCTGGGCCAGGAGAAGACAGGAGCCAGGAGCTTCATCCGGATTTCCCACTTGGGTCCACACCACATCTGCACTAAATGCCTGCCGCACCTAGTACTTCTTTGTAGATAGACTGGGTGTAGAATTCTGAGTTGAAAGTAATTCTCTTTAGAAAATTTGAAAACGTGACTCCATTGTCTTCCAGCACCCCTGATGCAGACGAGAAGCTGGTTTAATTGTCAGTCCTCCGTGGGTGAACTGTTTTCCCATGCAGAATCATCTCTTTTTTATTCTTGTTTTGAAATTCCATGAGGAACTGTGTAGATGTGGATCTTTAGCCATACACATGGGCCCTTGCTGAACCTTTTGAATCTGACTTGGGTCTTCCGTACCTCAGTTCCAGGGTATTCTGCTGGTTGTTAAATAGATTTTCCTTTCTGTTTGTTCCTTCTTTCTGGGATTCTTTGTTAGTCAAATGGTGTAGCTGTTAGGTTGGCTCTTTATAATGGATAGATTTCTCTATTACTTTCATTTTTATCCATATGCTGTTCTCCTGAGTCTTTCAATTTTATTTTGCAGATCATTTGCTGATTTATTTATTATTTTTTTTTCTTTTTTTTTGACAGGCAGAGTGGACAGTGAGAGAGAGAGACAGAGAGAAAGGTCTTCCTTTGCCGTTGGTTCACCCTCCAATGGCCGCCGCGGCCGGCGCGCTGCGGCCAGCGCACCGCGCTGATCCGATGGCAGGAGCCAGGAGCCAGGTGCTTTTCCTGGTCTCCCATGGGGTGCAGGGCCCAAGCACCTGGGCCATCCTCCACTGCACTCCCTGGCCACAGCAGAGAGCTGGCCTGGAAGAGGGGCAACCGGGACAGAATCCGGCGCCCCAACCGGGACTAGAACCTGGTATGCCGGCGCCGCTAGGCGGAGGATTAGCCTAGTGAGCCGCGGCGCCGGCCTTTTTTTTATTATTATTATTTTTGACAGGCAGAGTGGACAGTGAGAGAGAGACAGAGAAAAAGGTCTTCCTTTGCCGTTGGTTCACCCTCCAATGGCTGCCGCGGCCGGCGCACTGCAGCCAGCGCACCGCGCTGATCCGATGGCAGGAGCCAGGAGCCAGGTGCTTCTCCTGGTCTCCCATGGGGTGCAGGGCCCAAGTTCTTGGGCCATCCTCCACTGCACCTCCGGGCCACAGCAAAGAGCTGGCCTGGAAGAGGGGCAACCGGGACAGAATCTGGCGCCCGGACCGTGACTAGAACCCGGTGTGCCGGCGCCGCAAGGTAGAGGATTAGCCTATTGAGCCGCGGCGCCGGCCCCATTTGCTGATTTCTAATCTCTTTAAACTCCAGTGATTTTGAATTTATTTTAAAAGTGTTCTTCCCAGTTCTTTGTTGCTTGTTCATGGTTCCTGTTCCTTTTTTACATATTTTGTTTTCTGTTCCTTCTCTTTAATATTTTGATTATGGTATTTTTTAAAAAAGATTTATTTATTTATTTGAAAGGCAGAGTTACAGAGAGGCAGAGGCAAGGAGAGTGAGAGAGAACTCCATCCGATGGTGCACTCTCCAGATGGCCGCAGCAGCCAGAGCTGGGCCGATCCGAAGCCAGGAGCTTCTTCCAGGTCTCCCACCTGGATGCAGGGGCCCAAGGACTTGGGCCATCTTCTACTGCTTTCCCAGGCCATAGCAGAGAGCTGGATCGGATGTGGAGCAGCCAGGACTCAAACTGGCACCCGCATGGGATGCCGGCACTGCAGGCAGCACTTTACCCCCTATGCCGCTTTACCCCCTACGCCGCAGCACCTGCCCCTGATTATGGTATTTTTTAAAAAAATTTTTTTGTGTCCTTTAATTACCTTCATTGTCATCAGGAATATTTTTTTTTTCTCCTGTGTATGTTTTTCCTGGCTCTTGTCTTTCATGCTGCTGGGTTTCCTCATGTGCCTGGTGTACCCTAGCTGTCTATGCATGCTTTAGAAGGAAGGACTGGGTAACTGAAAAGTTGGTCTGTTCTGCGTTAGGACTGACAGCTGAGTGGATGGCCAGCTGAGCCCTGCACTGGGGAGGGATGCACTGGTTGGCCTGTTTGCTCTAGCATGAGCCTGTGCTCATCCCCAGAAGCCTTTGTGCCATTGGAATACTTTGCTCGGGTCAGATCATACCCACACTGGAAGCTTTGGCCTTCCCCAAGTTGTTTGTTCCTTCAGCTATCTGGTTTTTTGACTGAGACTTGGTGCCAGGCTCCTGTGATCTGTGTGCAGTGGGGTAAGCAGATGGGGTTGCCAACTAGTGCATTTCCAAGTACAGATCTTCAATTATCCCTGCTGTCTTTAGCCTCAGTTCCTACTCCTGCCCTCCCTTGTACCTGTTGGCACAGAGCCTAGAGCCATCAGGTGTTCCAAGGGACAGATTGGCTCTCTGGATTCTTCATAGCATTCCAACAAACACTGTGGCTTCCAGCTTCTGTTAGGTTGCCTGATGAAGTATTCTGGGCCATGGCTGTCTCTGCCTGCCTCGTCCATCAACACAATTTGTTGGCTCTTTTATCCACTAGTGAATCCCCAACTTTTCTTTCTTTCCTGATGTTGGAGGTTTATTACCACTTTTGCCTCTCTCCTCCTCCTCCTCCTCCTCTTCTTCTTCTCCTTCTTCTTCTTCTTCTTCTTCTTCTTCTTCTTCTTCTTTTTAAGATTTATTTATTTATTTGAAAGGCAGATTTAGAGAGAGAGAGACTGAGTCTTCCATCTGCTAGTTCACTCACTCCCCAAATGGCTGCAAGGGCTGGAGCTGTGCTGATCCAGGAGCCAGGAGCTTCTTCTGGGTCTCCCACGTGGGTGCAGAGGCTCAAGGACTTGGGCCATCTTCTACTGCTTTCCCAGGCCATAGCAGAGAGCTGGATTGGAAATGGAGCAGCTGGGACTCGAACCGGCAACCCATATGTGATGCCAGCACTGCAGGCGGCGGCTTTACCCACTACGCCACAGCGCCGGTCCCAATTGCATCTCTCTTCTGAGTGTGGTTTTGCAAGCCATAAATAGCAAACCTGTATCTTCAGTATACCACCTTGAACTGAAAATCCTGATGGGAATTTTGAACTATTTACCAACTCTGTCTTCATGGCTGCAGTCTGGTTAGCATTGCATACCTAATAAATTATTTCAATAAAATAAGGCAAGAGAACTAGAGTAAATAACTTCAGATGAATAAAGATATGATTGCATGGTTTTTCCTCCCCAGAAAGTCCTGTATAATGACAACAGTTTTTTTGAGTAAAGCCTGAAATAAACTTTTCAAAATTTAGGATCTTAAAATTAGCATCAAGTTGTGCCTGATTTCTACAGGATATATTCAGTCTCCTTTCCACTTTACTCATAGTGCTATCTACACTTTGGTTCTGATCATACGTTGGTCCTATAAAAGATCTTTATATTAATGTAATGAATTGCTTAAACATTTCATCAGCTTTTAAGTAGCACTTGGGTGAAATAGAAAGACTCATGGGATAATTTATTCCCCTAGGACAAAGAAGGGATAAACAAACCTTTTTAGTCTGTGATAGCAGAATGGTTTGCTGAATTTAAAAGCCTTAATTATTATGCTTTAAGCAACAACTTAGTTTGCTTCAGTCTGATTCCTAGCTTTCAAGTGGAGTTCTTCCTTTGATACATCGTGTTGCTATTTTGGTGCTTGTCATTTTGCTGTTGCACTTTCCCTCATCAAAAAACATTTACTGCTCCCTTTCGTATATTCTGTGTGCTGGTGTTGATATATGGGCTGCAGATACACCCAGGCTTTTGTCTTTTAACTCGGCTGCGCTTTTCCGAGTGTGGAGCATGGATAGTGTAAGGGAGTTGAGGTCTAGGTGTTTGATTTCTCCATGTACTTTTTTCCTGGCTTTGCTCTGCCTGAGCCTGAGCCTGAGCCTGTGGTGGAGGTACAGGCTCTACTTTCCCAGCTGCTCTTGCGCAGTTGCCCTTCTCCCACTTTTGTACAAGAACGGCATACTGCTTATCCAGCGCTGATCTTTCAGAGTCTGTGGCCCTGGATGTAAAAATGGCCAGGGCACCAAACAAAGGACAATCGAAAATACTGATGTTTGCGTTAAGATAGTGAATATCTAAGTAATACTATCTCAGTGAATGACTGGATAACAGTTGATTTTGCAGTTCAGGCTTCCAAGGGCAGGGCTTTGGTCTGCCTGGGACACTGTCATCCGTCAGGAGTGCCTAAGCTGGTTCAGCCATGGCTGCTGCAGGCATCTGGGGAGTGAACAGTGAATGGGAGCTCTGTCTCTCTGTCTCTCTGTTTCTCTCTCTCTCTCTCTGTTGCTGAAATAATACATACATAAATAAAAAGTCCTTGGGGCTGGCATGGTGGTGTGGCATGTAAAGCCTCTACCTGCAGTACCAGCATCCCATAGGGGTGCCAGTTCGAGTCCCGGCTGCTCCTCTGCAGATCCAGCTCTCTGGTCTGGCCTGGGAAAGCAGTAGAAGATGGCCCAAGTCCTTGGGCCCCTTTACCCTCATAGGAGACACAGAAGATGCTCCTGGCTCCTGGCTTCGGATTGGCACAGCTCTGGCCATTGTGGCCAATTGGAGAGTGAACCAGTGGATGGAAGACCTATCTCTCTCTACCTCTAATTTTCAAATAAAAAAATAAATCTTAAAAAAAAAATCCTGCAGTCCTGATACAGTAATCCCCAAGACCAAGCTGGCTAGCACCAAGCAACTGCTTTTTTAAAAAAATGGTTTCTGTTATTTTGATCTCCACAAAACTGAATGAAGACCTAATTGAATTGTCTAAGTAACTAATAGATCTTTAAGTATATTTTTGATGTCAGGTTACTATTTGCCATGTAACCCAAAATATTTCAGCAGATTGAGAGAAAGTTGTTATATCAAGACTTCCATTCTCATCTTTTCATTTCTGGAAAAAAGATTTTCACTACTTAGTTATAAAAACAAAAAAATAAGGATAGAATTAAATTTTAATCCTATTTAATTTTGGCCATAAATAATGGCCATGGCATGGAAATATGAACTAATGGAGGAAGAAACTTTTCACTCATTTCTTCTTAAAAATATTTATTTATTTATTTGAGAGGCAGAAACAGAATTCCCATCTGTTGGTTCACTCCCCAAATGCCTACAATGGCCAGGGTTAGGCTGACCAAAACTATGAGCCAGGGGGCTGGCGCCATGGCTCACTTGGCTGATCCTCCACCTGCGTCTCCGGCATCCCATATGGGCGCCGGGTTCTAGTCCCGGTTGCTCCTCTTCCAGTCCAGCTCTCTGCTGTGGCCCGGGAAGGCAGTGGAAGATGGCCCAAGTGCTTGGGCGCCTGCACCCGTGTGGGAGACCGGGAAGAAGCACCTGGCTCCTGGCTTCGGATCAGCGCAGCGCCGGCAGTAGCGGCCATTTGGGGAGTAAACCAATGGAACGAAGACCTTTCTCTCTGTCTCTCTCTCTCTCACTGTCTATAACTGTCAAAAAACAAAACTATGATCCAGGAACTCTATCCAGGTCTGACAGCAACTCACTCACTTGTGCCATCACTGCCACCCCCAGGGTCTGCATTAGCAAATGCCCATATCCCACATCAGTGTGCATAGGTTTGAGTGTTGGCTCTGGTTCCTGACTCCAGCTTCCTGCTAATGCAGACCCAGGTACTTCGATGTGGGACACACACATCTTAACTGTTAGGCTAACCTGCTGCCCCAGGATAGCCTTCTTAATAAATGGTACTGGGGGCTGGTGCTGTGGCGTAGTGGGTAAAGTCGCCGCCTGTGACACGGGTATCACGCGTGGGTGCTGGTTTGTGTCCTGGCTGCTCCACTTCCAGTCCGGCTCCCTGCTAATGTGCCTGGTTAAGCAGGGGAAGATGGCTCAAGTGCCTGGGCCCCTGCACTCACTTAGGAGACCCAAAGAAGCTCCCGGCTCCTGGCTTTGGCCTGGCCCAGCCCTGACCATTGTGACCATTTGAGTAGTGAATCAGCAGGTGAAAGATTTCTCTCTCTCTTTCTCTATAACTCTGCCTTTTAAAATAAATAAATATTAAAAAACAAAAACAAAAACAAAAAAACGTTGCTGGAGAAATTAGATATCCATGTTGGTGGCCGGGAAGGGGGTCGGGTTTGTGTGGGGAAGGAGCAGCCTGACATATCTTAAGTAAGTTAAGTAAGCCACAATGGTTCATAGCCATAAAGGAAAACTTGAAACTTCCAGACAAAAAAAAAAAAAAAAAAAAAGGAAAAAATATTTGGGGCCCAGGACTATGCAAAAAAAAAAAAAAAAAGTATTGGATTTGAATTAACTCAAAGTACATTTAAATGGAAAGATTGAAACTATTCTAGATCAAAAAAGGAAAACATGTTTGGGGTCTGTGACTAGGCAAAAAGTTCTTAGATCTGACACCAAAAGCTTGATCCATTAAAGGAAAAAGCAGTTTTTAAAAATATTTATTTATTTATTTGAAAAGCAAAGTTGGAGAGGGAGAAACAGGGAGAGAGATCCCATCTGCTGGTTCACCCCCCAGATGGCAGCAACAGGGTTGCAGGTTGGGCTGGGCTGAAGCCAGGCGCCTGGAACTTCCATTCTGGTCTCCCATGTGGGTGGCAAGGGCGCAAGCACTGTGCCATCTGCTGCTTTACTAGGTGGATTTAGCAGGGAGCTGAATTGGAAGTGGAACACCTGGGACTCAAACCTGCAGTCATATGGGATGCTGGCATCACAGGCGGTAGTTTAACCTGCTGGGCCACAGTGCCGGCTCCAAAGGAAAAAACTGATAAATTAGATAACATCAACATTAAAATCTTGTGCTCACAAAAGACCCTGTTAAAAATATGAAAAGATAGGCCAGCGCCGTGGCTCACTAGGCTAATCCTCCGCCTGCGGCGCCAGCACTTCAGGTTCTAGTCCCTGTCGGGGCGCTGGATTCTGTCCCGGTTGCCCCTCTTCCAGGCCAGCTCTCTGCTGTGGCCCGGGAGTACAGTGGAGGATGGCCCAAGTGCTTGGGCCCTGCACCCCATGGGAGACCAGGAGAAGTACCTGGCTCCTGGCTTTGGATCAGCGCGGTGCGCCAGCCGCAGTGCGCCGGCCGCGGCGGCCATTGGAGGGTGAACCAACGGCAAAAAAAGGAAGACCTTTCTCCCTTTCTCTCTGTCTCTCTCTCTCACTGTCCACTCTGCCTGTCAAAAAATAATAAAAAAAAATATGAAAAGATAGAAGCTATAGGCTTGCAAACATCCTATCTAGAATATATGAAAAACTCTCAAAACTCAAATTTTAAAAAACAATCCAATTAGAAAATGGGAAGAACATGCACAGACGTTTAACCAAAAGTGTTCTATAAATGACAGACAAATAAGCATGGATGAGAAGACATTCAGGGCCGGCGCCACGGCTCACTAGGCTAATCCTCCGCCTAGCGGCGCCGGCACACCGGGTTCTAGTCCCAGGTCGGGGCGCCGGATTCTGTCCCGGTTGCCCCTCTTCCAGGCCAGCCCTCTGCTGTGGCCAGGGAGTGCAGTGGAGGATGGCCCAGGTGCTTGGGCCCTGCACCCCATGGGAGACCAGGAAAAGCACCTGGCTCCTGGCTCCGGCCATCGGATTAGCGCGGTGTGCCGGCCGCAGCGCGCTGGCCGCGGCGGCCATTGGAGGGTGAACCAACGGCAAAGGAAGACCTTTCTCTCTGTCTCTCTCTCTCACTGTCCACTCTGCCTGTCAAAAAAAAAAAAAAAAAAAAAAAAAAAAAAGACATTCAGGCTCATTAGCTGTTAGGGAGTTGCAGATTAAAAACCAAGATGAGGGGCTGGCATTGTACAGTAGGTTAAGAACTGGGACACCAGCACCCAATACTGAAGTGCCTGGGATTGAGTTCTAGCTTCTCTGATTCTGATCCAGCTTCCTGCTAATGCCACTCAGTGGGCGATGGCTCAAGTATTTGTGTTGCCGCCACCTACTTGAAAGCGGGATGGAATTCCTGGCTCCTGACTTGGGCCTCGCCCAGCCCTGGCAATTGCAAGTATTCTGCTTTTCCCTCTGTCTGTCACTGTACCTGTCAGGTAGGTAAATGAATCTTAAAACAACAGCAGCGGCAAGATGAGAGGGCAGGAGTTTGCCTAGCGGTTACGACATCCGTGTCTCATGCTGGTGCACCTGCTCCAGCTCCTGACTCCAGCCAGTTTGCTGGTGCAGACTCTGGGAGGCAGCAGTGATGGCTCAAGTGATTGGGTCCCTGCAGCCATGTGGGAGACCTAGATTGAGTTCCCAGGTCCCAGCTTTGGCCTTCCTCGGCCCTGGCTGATGCAGGCTTTTGGAGAGTGAACCAGCACGTGGGAGCCTTCTCTGTTTCTTGAATAAATAAAAAATTTTTAAAAACATGATGAGATATCATCAGAGTAGCTGAAGTCAAGAATGCTGGCAAGGACTCAGAGAAACTGGATCATTCATACATTAATGTAAAATGATAATAGCTAGGGAAAACAGTTTGGCAGTTTCTTAAAAACTGAACAGTACAACCACCATATGACTCAGCAGTTAAACTCGTGGAAATTTATCCCAGAGAAATGAAAACTTAGTGCTATTGGCTGACTTACGTTCTCCCCAGTTCATATGATGAAGCCCAAATCCCAACATGATGATATTTGGATGTGAAGCCTTTGGAAGATAATTAGGTTTAGATGAGATCATGAAGGAGGGGCCGCGTGGTGGGATCAGTGCCGTTGTAAGAAGAGACACTAGAGAGCTTGCTCTCTCCTTCCTTCTCTTCCTCTCTGTGTTTCTTTCTCTTTGCCTACCATGGAAGGACACAGAAAGACAGCAGTATGCAAGCCAGGAAGATAACTCTCCACAGAGCCCTCTGGCACCCTGACCTCACGCTTCCAGCCTCCAGAAGTGTGAAATAATTCATGATTTCAGGCTTCCTATTTGTACCTCCCCAGAAGAAAATCTCTCTGTATGCTTGATGATGGCTCAGTCGTCTTATGTAGGAGATTAAGCCTTTCCTGTCACCATTAGTTGGCTTAATATACAAGTCCTTTTGGGGTTACTTATGTTGTTTATGTATAAATGAATTTTAGCTATTTGATGAATGTAAATTATGTCTGATGCAATTTTTTCTAGTTGATAGAGAAGAACGTAGAGGAAAGATATAGGTTAGAAGGGGGCATTTGGGAAGGTAAGGAAACGGAGAGTTAAGCTTTAAAGGCTACAAATAGAAGCAGAATATGAAGTATTTTGTTCGTGTCTATAAACACAATTTATGAATGTTTTGGTAAATTTTAAGAAGTACTACTGACTGCCTTACTGAGGAATTTGTTATGTCTGAAGGTTAGTTAACCTGAAATAGATCCCATTAATTCAGATCAATATATGGAACTGACATTTAGCCTATTGGTAAAAATGCCTGCATCCCCCATCAGAGCTCTGGGGTTTGATTCCCAGGTCCAGTTCCTGACTCCAGCTTCCTGCTGATACAGACCTTGGGAGGCAGCAGGTGATGGCTCAAGCAATGAGACTTGGTAGCTGTCTCCACAGCTGTTGTGGGGTTCTCTTGTCTCTTTCCATCACTTTTTTTTAATCTCAATTAAAAAAAAAAAGATTAATGGGAAAATGGCCCATAGCTTTGATCTACCAAGTGACTGTAAAAAGTCACTATATTATGTAGATTTCTCTCTCCAAAGATGAAAGAAATTGAGTATACAAAATGGTAGTATTGGGTTACAAATGTCTTATGGGGCAAATATTTTAATATGAATAATCTTTTTTAAAAAAGATTTATTATATTTACTTGAAAGTTACAGAGAGAGATAGAGAAGAGAGAGGTCTTCCAACTGCTAGTTAACTCCCCAAATGGCTGCAACGGCTGGAGCTGAGCCAATCCAAAGTCAGGAGCCAGGAGCTTCTTCTGGGTCTCCCACGTGGGTGCAGGGGCCCAAGGATTTGGGCCATCCTCTGCTGCTTTCCCAAATGCATTAGCAGGGAGCCGGATTGGAAGTGGTGCAGCTGGGACTCAAACCAGTGCCCATATGAGATGTTGTTGTTTCAGGCCAGGGCTTTAACCCGCTGTGCCACAGCGCTGGCCCCAAATAATTTTGAATTTAAAGAAAAGCAGAAACAATTCTGTGGGGAGCAACCCGGACTAGACTAAGTTACTGGAATTAAGACTTATTCTATGCATCTGCTCTCCCACAATATGGCGCTGAGAAGGGAGAAACAGCTTCTACTCAGCTGCCTCCAGTTCAACCAATAAACTGTAGGAGCTGCTCCTGATTGGAGGAGAGCAGCGTACTCGGCTTGTGGGTAGCAGAGTTGGGATTGGTGGAAGAGGACTATAAAGGAGGAGAGAGACAACATGCAGGAGGAACATCTAAGGGGAACATTTATCTGAAGGAACACCTGTGCAACCCCCGAGAGAGCCGGCCGGCGGTGTGCCGCTCCCCCGCGGAAGTGGGGAATGTGGCAGGGGGAACCGCCCTTCCACGGAGGTGGAAGGGACGGTAGCCAACCCGGGAAGAACCAGCAGCAAACCCGGGGAGGGCCGAGCAGACGAAAGAACAGCGCAGGGTCCTGTGTCGTTCCTCCACGAAGACGGGGAGCGACAAATTCTAATGTTGTGTGATTTTTAGATGAGTAATCAACTTGACCATGAGATTTCAAATATGTGATTTGACTTGTATCAAGCTCCCTTGCCTTTCTTGGCCTTATTTTTGCATTTACTTGTGAGACAATGACTGATGGGACATTGTTTTCTTACCTCCCTAATAACAATTCTGAGAGAACTAAATGACTATTGAAAGGAATCTTGGGGCTGGCATGGTGGCATAGCAGGTAAGGCTGCTGCCTGCAGCACTGACATCCCAAATGGGTGCCAGTTCAAGTCCCAGCTGCGCCACTTCCGATCCAGCTGCGCCACTTCCGATCCAGCTGCCTGCTAATGCTCCTGAGAAAACAGGGGAAGATGGCCCAAGTACTTGGGCCCCTGAACCCCACGTGGGAGACCTGGATGAAACTTCTGGCTCTTTGCTTTGGTCTGGCTCAGCCCTGGCTGTTGTGGCCATTTGGGGAGTAAACCGGCAGACGGAAGATTTCTGTCTCTCTGCCTCTGCCTCTCTGCAACTTTGCTTTTCAAATAAATAAATCTAAAAAAAAAAAAAAAAAAAAAAAAGAGGGATATTAGTTTCCTTATAAAATGGTATGATGTCCAAAAATTAAAAATTTTTGAATGTCTTTCAAAATACACATTATACTTTTCTATGTTGGACTCTTGCCTATTTTAAGAAGTTTTTGTGATCAGATTAGTGAAATGGCAAATTTCTCCTTTCAAATCAATTGTCTATTTATTATTGGCATATGCTTATGAGTTACCTTGGAGTAATCAATATACTTTTTTCTTAGTGAGAGCTGTTTATAAACCTATTACACAAAGATTTTAAAAATATACTAGCTCTATTTAAATTTTGTCATATTGAATTTAGAAAATTTCACTTTGTATATAATAAGCAGATACTGGACAAAGTATAAAGTTACCCATTCTTCTTCCCTTCAGTAAGAGGCATGCAGTAGAGTCATAGTCACATTATCCAATGTGAAAAAGGCTCCTCTGACATTTTCGTAGGCGTCTGCATAAGCAGTCCCTTCACTGTGCACCTGAAGGAGGGACCCCAGGAGAGCAGCACAGTGGAGCTGGGAGTGGCTGCTTGTGGATGTGCTCAAGAGGGCCACCTGTGACTTTCCCCACTGCGTCCTTAGCAACTGTGGGTCTACATGGGATGTCCTTCCTCTGAGCCTCACGGCAGGTGATGGCCAGCCTAGATTCAGCATCAGGCCTCTTCCACTAGGCAGCTAAGATTGGGACACCCCCTGTGGAAGCTGCCTCGTCTATAAGTGTCAGGAGGGGTGGAAGTGGGAAGGATCCCTAGTTCTTAATTTAAGATTCTGACTTTGTGTTAAAAAAAAAAGTTAACATACTCATTAAGTATTGCATTCTATAATAATGATAAATACATTTTTCTTGTTATAAAGAATGACATTTAAATTTTAAATGGCTTTGATGTTGAGTGGTTCAAAAATAAACTTTCAACTTCCTTACATGAAAGATGATAGAACTATACTGAGGCAAAGATCTAGTTTTTAACTCTAAAATTGAACTTTGGCACACATTTTTTGGTTTTGTTCTTTTTGAAAGTTTATTTATTCGAGAGAGAGGCAGACAAACAGGCATAGGCATGCACAGAATTCTCAGCCACAGTTTCTCCCCCCAAACGCCCACCGTTATCTGGGATCAGATTGGGGCCGAAGATGGGAGCCAGGCAGTCCAGGTCACCTGTAGGTGGCAGGAGCCCAGTTATTTGAGCCATGACCTTTTCCTTCCCAGGTTCTGTCTCAGTAGTCAAGAACTGGAGCTGGGAGTCAAACTCAAGCACTCCAGTGTGGGATATGAGCATCTTAACTGCTCGGCAAAATAATCGCTTCCAGTATCCCAAACTTTTTAAGTTTAAAAAAAAAAACTGTTTAAACTTTTTAAGTTTGGGATATTCCAAAGTGCTTATTTTCTCTCAGGCACCATATCTGCAACTTGGGAAAGTATCTAGTAGCCTAGTAAATGGAGAAGTATCCGATTAATCATCCAGTCAATCATATTTTTCTTCTAACAAACTAAACTGTATTAAAGCTTTAATAGCACCCATTTTAAATAATCAGTACTTGTCAGAATAACTTTTTGTTTTTTAAAGATTTATTGATTTATTTGAAAGGCAGAGTTACAGAGAAGCAGAGGCAGAGAGAGAGATTGATTGAGGTCTTCCTTCCGCTGGTTCACTCCCCAATTGGCTGCAATGGCTGGAGCTGCACCGATCAAAAGCCAGGAGCCTCCTTCAGATCTCCCACGTGGGTGCAGGGGCCCAAGGACTTGGGGCATCTTCTACTGCTTTCCCAAGCCACAGCAGAGAGCTGGATTGGAAGTGGGGCAGCTGGGACTCAAAACTGGCATCCATATGGGATGCCGGCACTGCAAGCCACTGTTCTACCTGCTACTCCACAGTGCTGGCCCCTCCGCATAACTTTTGAAAAAACTAATATGCTGTAAGAAAGCTTCAGAGACACACAGATGTCTGTGTGCACAATCAAGAACCTTCTCATTAATCTTCATTTTTGACAAAATTGCTTAGTGAGTCCTGGTTCCTCCATTTGGCCTAAGTAAAACACGCACTCTGAATTGTTGGCATTTTTGAGAATGATCTGCTTAGACCTCTATGGAATTTCCTACTCAGCCAGGTGTTAAAAGCTGTCAGAGATTTTTATTGCAGACCTGCCTGTGGCATGGGCTCTCTGTCCTGGCTTGTCAATATCTGCCTTTCACTCCTTAAAAGTCTAGGCCTTCCATAGGTTCTTACTTAAAAAGTGGGCGGACGGGGATGCTTTGGCCTTCTAAAGTGACTGGACAAAAGCCGAAGCGTATTATCACCCTGTGCTGCAAAGCCCTCAGTATGACAGTGAGACAGTGTAAGATATTGAGGAATATGAACTTGGGAGTCAGACAAACCAGGATTCAAACCCTGGCTTTACCTCATTTGTGCTATGTATTTTTAGACAAGGGACTCAACCTGTATCTCATAAAATTATCTCACGGATTTATGAAGATTAGATGAAATAATGTATATAATACACTTTGCTCTTTATGTAGCTTGTAATAAAAGCAATAATAATGGTGGGTAGGATCAAGTCTTTCTAGTGTGCTTTTGACTTTTTAAATATTTATTTATTTTTAATCAGAAAAGAGGAAGTTCCTTCTGCCAGACTGCTGCTAGGTTCCTCATTGTGTGAAGCTGTGTGAGCCTGGGTAAAAGTTAATCTGCAATTGGCTTAAAATCAGCTTCATTTCTTGCATTGGTAGTCGACTTTGGAGTTTCTCCAAGGGGAGGCTGGCTTCCTCTGTGAAAAGCCAGACCTGTAACATGAAGTAGCAAGAAAAAGCAGTCCTCTTCACCTTTTACGGAAGTGCAGCATGTGTGGAAAAGCACAAGTGTGCTTGAGAAACAACCTCGCCAGCGTTCCGGAGGCTCCCTCCTGTCACTCTCACTTGTCCTGCTCCTGTCACTACTACCCCTGACAGGCAGAGTTAGACAGTGAGAGAGACAGAGAGAAAGGTCTTCCTTTTTATGTTGGTTCACCCCCCAATTGGTCGCTACGGCCGGTGCGTTGCGCCGATCGAAGCCAGGAGCCAGGTGCTTCTCCTGGTCTCCCATGGGGTGCAGGGCCCAAGGACTTGGGCCATCCTCCACTGCCCTCCCGGGCCACAGCCCGGGACTGGAAGAGGAGCAACCGGGACAGAATCCGGCACCCCGACCGGGAATAGAACCTGGTGTGCCGGCGCCGCAGGCAGAGGATTAGCCAAGTGAGCCGTGGCACCTATCCTTTTTCTTTTTTAAAGATTTGTTTGTTTATTTGAAAGGCGGAGTTACAGAATTAGAGGCGGGTTTGGGGGGTGTCTTCCATCTGCTGGTTCACTCCCCCAGATGGCTGCAACCCCTGGAGCTGCACCAATCTGAAAACAGGGGCCAGGAGCTTATTCCAGGTCTCCCAACCAGGTGCAGGGCCCAAGGATTTGGGCCATCTTCTGCTTTCCAGAGAACTGGAAGAAAAGTGGAGTACCCGGGACTCCAACCAGCACCCATATGGGATGCCAGCACTGTAGACAGCGGCTTTACCTGCTATGCCACAGCATTGGCCCCACCACCCCTGACTTCTGATACAAGTCTGGTTTGGCCTATTTTCTGTTTTACATAAATAGACTCCTATCTTTCAAATCTGGCTTCATCTGCTCAGTGTTGGTTTCTGAGACTCATCCTGTTTTGTCACATGTACTTATACATCATTCATGCTCATTACTATGTAGTATTGCATTGAATGAACACACCCCAACTCATTCATTCTACTGTTCATGGGTATATTTTAGCCATTAAAGCTATGGATATTCTAGTACCTGTCTTTTGGTAAACATATGTAAGCATTTCTATTGGAACAGAATGACTGGGCCATAGATACTCTTATGTTCAGTTTTCTTGTATTTTTAAAAATTTATTTTTAATTGAAAAATAAAAATTGTATATATGTATGGTACACAACTGATGTTTTAAAATATGCATACATTGTGGAATGGCTAAATTCAGCTAATAAACATGTTTTGCCTCATATACTTATTTTTTTGTGATGAGAGCACTTAAAATTATTTTCTTAGCAGTTTTCAAGTTTAGAATAAACTGTTATTGTAGTCCTCATGTTATACAATAGATCTCCACACCTTATTCCTCCTAATTGAAGTTTTGTATCCTTTGACCAACATCTTCCCCATGTTCAATTGTAATAAATAATTGCAATCAGTTTTCCAAATGATTCTACCAGTTTGCTTATTTATGGCCAAACTCTTGGCAATTTTATTAGCAGTGTGAACAGGGTGATGAGAGGAGGCCCTTCCTCAAAATAGAGGCACAGGAGGCAGCCACAAAGGGTACCCCCTTAGTGGTCCCAGAGGGCCTGGGGCCGAGGCCATCCCGGAGAGCAGATGGGGGCTGAGGACTGATTTAGGAGGAGCCACACCGCATTCAGAGTCCAGCAGTTGCTGTGGTGAGGTTCCATGGGCCTTTCTACAAGGCCCACAAATGCCAGCAGTGTCTTAGTCCACTTGTACTGCTATAGCAGAATATCTGAGGCTGGGAAATTATAAACAGCAGAACTTACTTCTCGTAGTTTTGGACACCAGGAATTTCAAAAATCAATATTCCACAGGTTAGGTGCCTGGTGAGGTCCTGCTCTATTGATGCCCTATTCATTGTGACATTCTCATCTGGTGGTAGGCAGAATGGCGATAAAGGGTGGATCACTATGTGAAGCTTTTTTAATATAGGCGTTAAGAAGGTTTATTTATTTTGAAGGTTTATTTATTTATTTGAAATTCAGAGTTACACAGAGAAAGGAGAGAGAGAGAGAGAGAGAGAGGTCTTCCATCTGCTGGTTCACTCCCCAGTTGGCCGTAACGGCCCCAGCTGCGCTGATCTGAAGCCAGGAGCCAGGAGTTTCTTCCGGGTCCTCCACGTGGGTGCAGGGGCCCAAGGACTTGGGCCATCTTCTACTGCTTTCCCAGGCCATAGCAGAGAGTTGGATCAGAAGTGGAGTAGCCGGGATTAGAACTGGTGCCTGTATGGGATGCTGGTGCTGCCAGTTAACCCGCTTAGCTACAGTGCCAGCCCCTATTTATTTATTTGAAAGTCAAAGTTAGAGAGAGGCAGAGACAGAGACAGAGAGAGGTCTTCCGTTTGATGGTTCACTTCCCAAGTAGCAGCAATGACGAGGGTTGACCCAGGCTGAGACCAGTAGCCGTGAGCTTCATCTGGGTCTCCCATGTGGGTGGCGGTGTCCTGAGCACTTGAACCATTGCTCACTGCATTTTTCAGGCCATTACCAGGGAGCTGGATTGGAAGTGGAGCATCTGGAACACAAACCAGCACCCATATGGGATGCCAGCATCACAGGTGGTGGCTTTACCCACTACACCACAATACCAACCCCCGATATTTTTGTGGAGTGACAGACAGGGAGAAAGAGAGAGGGAGAGAGTGAGGGAGAATATCATTTCTGCTGGTTCATTCCCCCAGATGGTCACAACAGCTGGACTTGGGCCAGGCCAAAGCCAGGAACCAAGAACTCAGTCCAGATCTCCCACATGGGTGACATGAACCCAAGTGCCTGATGCCTCCCAGATGCATTAGCTGGAAACTGAATTGGAAATGCAAATGAGACTTCTCAATCCCAGGCACACTGATAGGGGATGCAGGCATCCCAAATGGAGACCCAGTCTGCTGTGCCACAATGCTTGCCCCAATACTTGGTATTTTCCATCATCATCATTTTAGAAGCTCTGATGACTGGCTGCCTGCATGTACTGCGCTTTCTCCACTCGATCTCCACACCTCCACCCTCCGCTGCTGCTGATCTTGGACTTGACTCCAAAACTGAGCACTGCTCTGTTGGATCACTTGTGGGTCTGGTTAAAATGAAGATGCTGATCTTCGAGCAGTGGGCTGAGCTGAGGATCTGGAGCCCAAACACCTGGACCCAGTGATGAGCAGCGGGTCTGAGGACCCAGCTCTCTGCTATGGCTCTGGGAAAGCAGTGGAAGATGCCCCAAGTCCTTGGGCCCCTGCACCCACGTGGGAGACCTGGAGGAGGCTCCTGGCTCCTGACTTCGGATCAGCGCAATTCCGGCTGTTGCGGCCATTTGTGGAGTGAACTAGCGGATGGAAGGCCTCTCTCTCTGTCTATAACTCTGTCTTTCAAATAAATCTTAAAAAAAAAAAAAAAGTTCTGATGATTGTAGAGAGATGTCACATTGTAGTTTCAATTTGTATTTCCTTGATGACTAATGAAGTTGGGCATCTTTTCAGATTTATTTGCCATTTAAGAAGTCATACAGGTTCACATCTTCTGTTCCTAATTCTCTTGGGTGATCTATGTATTTTTCTTATTGATTCATGGAAATTCTCTACATAATCTATGTGGTCCTTTGTCATATTTGTTATTGTCGTATCTTCTTCTGTTTTTATTGGTTATCTATTGGTAAATTCTAAATATAATCTAATTTATCATTTTTTCCCTTTTAAATTCAGAGTTATTGTGTCCTGTTTAAGAGAATATGAATACTTTAAATACTCTAAAGTCACTAAGCTATCCTATGGTTTTTCTCTCAGATTTTATTGTCTCATCTTTCACATTTAGATCTGCAGTCTAGGCATGAGCATTTGGTGCAGCAGTGAAAACACCCACGTCTCAGAGTGCCTGGGTTTGCATCCTGGCTCCACTCCCAATTCCAGTTTCCTTCCGATGTGCTCCAAGGGAAGCAGCAGGTGATGGCTCAAGTAGTTGGGTCCCTGCCACCCATTTGGGAGACTGGGGTTGAGTTCCAGGATCCTGGTTTTGGCCTGTCCTCCTACTGTTTTGGGCAGTTGAGAAGTGAACCAGTAGATGGGGGATTTCTCTCTCTCTCTCTCTCTCTCTCTCTCTCTGCATGTCAAATAAATAAAATATTTTTTAAAAAACTGCAGGGCCAGAGTTGTAGCATATTGGGTAAAGCTGCTGCCTTCCGTGCCAGCATTCCATATGGGTACCAGTTCAAGACCTGGCTGCTACACTTCCAATCCAGCTCCCTGCTGATGTACCTGGGAAAGCAGCAGAGGATGGCCCAAGTGCTTGGTGCCCTGCACCCATGTGAGACCTGGATAAAGCTTCTAGCTTCTGGCTTTGACCTGACCCAGCCCTGGCCATTGCAACCATTTGGGGAGTGAACTACTGGAAGGAAGATCTCTCTCTCTCTGACTCTGTCTCTGTCTTTGTCTCTGTCTCTCTCTCTGTCTCTATCTCTATCACTTCCTCTCTCTGTGTAACTCTTAAAAAAAAAATAAATGCAGCCCATCCAGAACTGATTTTTGTATATAGGTAATTAGAGTTTTAGATATATATCTCCCATTTGGGTATTCACGTGATCTGGTGCTAAGATATTTTGAAAAGCAGCATGAATACTTTGGCAGTAGTTGGGTCATTCACTACTAGAATGAGTTCCAATCTTTGCCCAAGAGGTGGTTGAAAGATTGTTTCAAGGCCTCTTTTCTTTCTTGATTCACCATCAAGACTCTACCAAATAAATCAGGTGTGGATTTCTGTTGAAGCCCCAACAAGCTGAAAGTCGTCTGCTCCAGGTAGATAGAAGTACTGGCATGCAGTTACCTTGAACACTTGCAAATTATTTATGATGGATCTGTCACCAATTAATGTGCCAGGTGGAGGCTGAAGTGATTGGAGAAAGGTACAAAACTGATGATATCCAGTTTTGGACTTTATGTGACAGTTTTTTAAAAAAACTGGTTAATACTAATCTTATATGTATAGAACTACTTACAATTATGGGGGGGGGGAAGCCATTGTAATCCATAAGCTGTACTTTGGAAATTTATATTCATTAAATAAAAGTTAAAAAAAAAGGAACTACTGACAAAGTAGCTTCACTTATACTATTTTATTGTAATCCTTGTACTAACTAGCATTGTAAGGTTTTTGAGACTGGTATTATTATCACAGTTTAGCAGGAGTTTTATAAATAATTTGGAAAAAAGGATAACTCAGTAGTCTTATTGCCCTGACCCAACCATCTTTATCAACTGGTTGTAGGCAAACTGATCTAGACAGAGAGCTTCATAATTTGATTTATCCTGTGGAAAATAAATAAAATTCAATGTTTCATTAAAGTAAAATATTTTAAGTTTGACCAATGAGCTGGAGGTTGGAAGGGTTTCAGCTCATAGAGCTCAATAATCTTATAGTCCCTTGTTGTCTTCCTTTTATGACTATCAGTTGGATTAACTCTTTCTGATACTTTAATCCTTTTTTCTAGTACCTTACAAATGAACTTTTCTGTTTTATGTCTATTAGCTAAGGGATAGAGGGCCTAAATGCAATTAAATTGGGACATAAAAACTAGTAACTCAGAGGTGTCACATTCACATGATCCTGGTCAGTGGTGAACAGCAGCAGGTGCGTACAGGGGCTGGGTTTCTCCTGCAGGTTGTCCCTAGAGAAGCTGACACTGCATTGCATGTAGTGGACATCTGGAGTCTCTGTGGACTAACAGTAATCTCAGGAAGTACAAAAGTGAATATGAAAGTTCTTAACTAGTGGTAGGTTTTCCCCTCCCCTCCTCAAAGATCTATCATTAAACAAGCTCAAACTTAAATCATCCTGGGCCCTGTATACTCAACAAAGCAATAGATAAAGGTTCCTGATATCTGGTATATGCTTGTTATGGTGGTTCTGGCAGAGCTGGACTAAAACAGGTCTCCTTCTCTACTCCTCCTTCAGGAAAACTGTTCTGAAGTTTTCAAAACCAGTCATCACCTGCTGCTTCCCTGGGTGTGCTGTTAAATGACTGTGGAAACGTGATCCACAGCTCCGTAACTTCAGTTGAGTGCTGTATTTTCCTGACAATATTGTTTTCTTGTTTGACTATGTGCAGAGCCAAATCTACAGCTTATTTTTTAAAAGATGGATTTACTTATTTCCAAGAGTTACAGAGAGGTAGAGACAGAGAGAGAGACCTTCCATCCACTGGTTCACTCCCCAGATGGCTGCAATGGCTGGAGCTGGGTCAGTCCAAAGCCAGGAGCTTTATCTGAGTCTCCCACGTGGGTGCAGGGGCCCAAGCACTTGGGCCATCCTCTGCTGCTTTCCCAGGTAATTTAGTAAGGACTTGGATTGGAAGTAGAGCAGCCAGGACTCAAACTGGTGCCCGTATGGGATGCCAGCATCACAACTGGCAGTTTTACCCACTATGCCACAATGCCAGCCCCATACAGCTTTTTTATAGTAGAGGTAATATTTCCTGTTTTAACTTCTTTTGCTAATCAGGTATGGAACAGTATGTTTGTTTTGCTCTATTATTTGAGTAGGTCATAAGATAGAAAGGGTAAGACAAAGCTCTTATCCTTGAGTTATCTGGAATCATATTTTATGTGATAGAATTAATTTTAGTGAGCCTGATCCAGTCTGCTCATCTTATAGAAAAGGAAGGAACAGGCTCTTGGCACACAGCAGGTCTGTAGCAGAGCTAGGTCTTAAAACCTGGTCTCCTGACCTTGATTTTGCTGCCCCCTCCTCTTAAACATATTGGGACTACGCTGTTAAAGGAATCTACCCACGTTTAAATATTTAGAATTTCTGAATTGTGTTTGAATCATTTTTCAGCCAGTTCTAGTCTCATTTTTATATTGGTGACTGTGGGACTTTGAATACAGAGTCCTTTTAAAAACTATAAAGTGTAGCATCTCATAAAATACAATAGCTGTTTCTGCCAAAACACTGTATGGGAAAGAGCCTTTGATGGCATAGATAAAAAGAGTTCGAGTCATACACGCATGTTCTCTTTAATTTAGCAGGTAGTATGGTTCAATAGGGAGGTTGAAAGGTTGTTGAATCGAGAGTCTCAAGACTTAGATTTTGTCCTGTCACCAGCTGCCTGTGTGATCTGGGGCAAACAGCCTACTTTCTCTGGGCTTCCGTCTGCTTGCCTGTACCGTAAAGGAATGGGGTGAGAATTAGGACCGTCTCCTCATTAAATAACTCTCGTCATTGCTGGATGTGTGCGCGCTTGTTGTCAAAAGCCTATGGACGTGAAATGATCTGTGCCCGCTGTTCTTCATCTTGACACTACGAAGTAACCACAGACCAGCCAGCCAGCAATCAGTCTCCATCTGCAGAGCAGTCACTGTGTCCATGTATAGCAGTTTGGAGAAGGGCCAGATTTTATTTTTGCCAGAAGCACTCTTGGCAAATCCTCATCCCTGGAGACGTCTGTTTAATTTTGTGGTGCCGTGCACAGTTTAGTGAAAAAAGAAGAGGAATGCTGAGCTATTTGATTCTGAATGCTCTCAGAGATAGCTAATGTTCATTTGTTTCCATACTATCTGTGTTTCCAAGATGTTTGAGGATGGAGATGAGCCAAAATGAAATGAAAAGAGGTGAAAAGTTCTGGAACATGTGTATAATATTAAATATCTTACCAGATCTGTCATTTTAGACTGTCTTGCCTAAATTTTTATATTTTCAACTAATCTCCTAGTTTTAAACTGTTAAAAATAATTTTTTATTTTATGAAAAATTGACATGTTGAACTAAATATTTCAAAACTATCCTGTTGTTTTACCTCCTGGAAATAAAAGTATTTGAGTTTGAATAAATTCCTCCCTGTTTTTTATTCATGTGCGGAGTAAAGATCCCAATTAACATCTGGATTTAAAATTCATTTGTTCAACAAAGTTTGCCTGGGCACTGAAAGTTATATGCTGAAAATTAAATACCCGGATTTCTTAAACTACAGAAATAAATCTAGTTGAGGTTACATTTGGTTAAAATGTCATTGTGTGAAGCTGGTGCTGTGGCTTAGTAGGCTAAGCCTTTGCCTGTGGCACTGGCATCCCATAAGGGTGCCAGTTTGTGTCCCAGCTGCTCCTCTTCTGATCCAGCTCCCTGGTACGGTTTGGGAAAGCAGTGGAGGATGGCCCAAGTGCTGGGGTCCCTGCACCCGTGCAGGAGACCCAAAAGAAGCTCTTGGCTCCTGGCTTTGGAGTGAATCGGCGAATGGAAGCCCTTTCTCTCTGTCTGTGACTCTACCTCTCAAATAAATAACTAAAATCTTAAACAACAAAAAAAAAGTCGTATGGGGCTTGCTTTGTGGCATAACTGGGTAAGCTGCTGCTTGCAGTGCTGGCATCCCATATGGGTGCCGGTTTGAGTCTCAGCGCTTCCACTTCTGATCCACCTCGCTGCTAATGCACCTGGGAAGGCAGCAGAAGATGGCTCAAGTTC